CCCGCACCCCGAGCTTTACAGCCTCAACGACGAAAAGGGTCGGAACGCATTAACCTTTTTATAGAAAAAGGGGAGAAGAGCTAAAAATCTGTTTGGCCACTTATTACAAGTTCGCCGTCTGGCTTATCTACCTAACTAATTTCTTGGGGGATGATCTCACCCTCTATCTCGGTAGGTAAGTCCGATGTCAGAGGAGCCACCTCCTTCTCGATGTCGTCTAGCTCGGCGTCGATGTAGACAGGCGCGAGAACTCATAGGTAAGGAGGGATACGGAGCTGAAAACGCTCGTACGACCCATTCAGGCCCAGGAGTTCAAAGGCTAGCCCTTCGACAGGTTCACAACTGCTCTAGGGTGCCCTTAAAGTGAGGGGTGGAATGGGATGGGCCCACTAGCGGCTAGTACCCAGGCGCACGAGCGCCGCGGGCATCCCGGCCCACGTTCGAGTCTTGGTCGGTTCCTAGTCCATGGTTTTTCCTCGAAGAAAGGCAACGAGCCCTTGGGACCGGTCGAACGGACCTGGGAACTATATGGATTGGCCACTGAGAATATGGAGTCGGTCACCAGCTGACCCATGCCGGACCCTACGAACGGGAAGCTGGGGCCCCACTCGGACTAGACCGTTAACAGCTCACCGTGCACCATGTTTTGTCCATCGAGCAAAAACGTGGCACGGCTCAGCCCCTCCATTTTATCGAAAAAATGCTTGAGGGATGACGATCACAAAGACGAGCTGACCCTCGACCGGACCCTTGCTACGTGCGAGGGCTCGAGGGAAGTTGGACTCGCAAGGAGACTGAACGTGCGGTCGTAGTACGACGGTGGACCGATCGGATCCTAGGGGACCGAAATCAAGAAAAATCTTTCTGACCTCCCGAATTCTACGGCTACATGCCCCAAGAAGACCGATCGCGACAAAAGGGAATCGTCGTCCTGCCAGAACACACCGTGGCCTATAAAAAGAAGGCAAAGGTCCTCAGAGTCCTCCTGTCCAGAAAAGCCTCCAAAGGAGTATTCTACTCCTCCGTAGGCTTGGGGGCTACTATCGGGTATCGATATTAGGGATACCCAAAGTAAGGAAGTGAGCACCCACGCTGACTTCCCCGGATGGCTCAAAACATATTAAAAGGTCTCGCCCGACCCTAAGGCCGTGGGCTCTGTCTCGTCTGACCTCGAGACCACGGGTTCCATCTCGTCCGACCCCTTGGGTGCGGGCTCTGTCTCGCCCAACCCCAAGGACATGGGTTTCGTCTTGCCTAAGGCCATTGGCTCTATCTCGCCCGACCTCAAGGCCACGGGCTCCATCTTGCCCGACCTCGAGGCCGCGGGCTTCGTCTCGCCCGACCCTAAGGACGTGGTTTCTGTCTCGCCCAAGGTCGTGGGCTCCGTCTCTTCCGACCTCAAGGACGCGGGTTCTGTCTCGTCCGACGGGGACCCATACCACCGCCAACCACTCTAGGTCCAAGCATATAGGCCTGGGTCAAAACTCTAACGCCAAGGAAGAGGTTGGCACACCTCAATGTAACCCATGGCATGACGGGCCATACCCGAGGATTCACATCAAGAACAGTGTCAGGCGTGCCGGTGCTGTTCTGCCTAATCCTCGTATGGACGCTGATAGGCGTGTCAGTTCACCACGACGTTCGTCGGGACGGAGTGGAACGCCATGACCGACAGATGACGCCTGCGCATGGCACTAGTGACGAACAGGGTCACGACATGGAGCCGTCCCTGTTGACATCTACCGGATCAGCGGGACCCGCATGAAGGAGAAGAAGGACCCGACAACCCTGGAAGCCTTCTCTCTCTCTCGATTCTTCTTCTTTTCCTCCTCTGTAACCCACGCTTTCCCTTCGCCTATAAAAGGGGAAGCAGGGCACCCCATGAAAAGGGAGACCTTGACACACGAGCACGACACGAGCACACGGCTGAGCGGCAAGCGAGCTATCAGCACCCGTCTACCCCTTCCACCAGAGACTTGGGATCCTCTCCCTCTCTCGCCTATTTGTAACCCCTACTGCAAACCAAGTGCCGGTAACACGAGCAGCAGCGAACTGGACGTAGGGACGTTCCGCCAAACTAGTATAAACCCTTGTGTCCTCCGAGCAGACCATCCGAGCTAGACGCACAAACACAAATTTACTCGCCGGTGGTCCGAAAACACCGACAATATGCAACATCCAAATAAAATACTTGCAACATACATCTAAAACAGATGAAACATTTGAAACATACACTTGCAACATACGCCTATAGCCATTACAACATATGCAACATACAGATGAAATACATGCAACATCCGGATGAAACACATGCAACATCCATATGAAACACATGAAACATACATCTAAACACATGAAACATACGGAGCTCAATGCCATGGAGTATGCGGGCCCCATGCTCTTTCTCTCTCTGTCGGTCCTCTCTCTGATCACAACGCATGCACAGGCCCCCATGCGCAGCATGCACCTACCCCACACCGAGCGAGACCGCATGCGCTGCCCCACGCCCCACACGAACGAGTGGTTGCATGAGCTCCAATGCGCTGCCCCGAACGAGTGGCCGCACGAGCTCCCATGCGCTGCCCCACACCGTATGCACCCCTACACCGAACGAGTGGCCGCACACGCTCTCATGCACTGCCCCGTAGAAAGGACCAGTGCGGGTCCCGCTTGACTACAACTGCGCGGCCCGTTTTTTTCTTGGTCGTCACGCGTGCGCGGGGGTTGGTCCGTCTGAACAGACGGATGCCCTAAACCAAACATTACCGATTTTTCTTTTATCTCTTTTTGATTGATTCACCCCACTGTTTGCCTAAACGGTCGTCTAGCCCGTTTACACACCATTTAAATGCTACAAGATAGTACACTGTTTCCGTTTAATAGGTTGTTTTGATCGTTTAAATGGCCGTTTTGTCTGTTTAAACATCCGTTTTGTCTGAATAATAGGCTAAGCGGTAGGTGACCGTTTACCGTTTAGTTTTTAGGATAACACTGATTCACCCTTACACAGTTCATAAGCCATCCGTGGAACAGTTGTGTGTGTCGGCGGGGTTTTTCTTTACAAGGAAAAGAGAGCCTTTATATGACTCACCGGCCTGATTACAATCAGGAGCAATAATAGGCTCAATGCAAGCCGGCTCTGAGAACCACCAAATGGTCCATTGTTTTGTTCTCGTTGTCAGTTGTGCAAGCTCATGGGCCGTGTGGACAACTTTCCAATCAAATAACATGCTTTTGGTCTCCATGGCTTCATTACCCTATCACTAGTGGTGCTGTCAAATGGACCATCAACATTGACCCTCACCCAGCCCTTTTCCGGGCCATTCCATAGGCATGGGGTTCTTGCTTAGAGCTCCTTTATACCTTCACATAAGGAACCCCGCTGTGAGGATCAGCCAAATTTTTATTCAGCCTGACATAACTCGGCTCCTATTTGGCTGGATCGGCGTACAGAGCCCAATTCAAAGGACGTACAAAAGCACCTGAGTGACAGGAACAGTACCTGGCGAGGAAAACTAAGAATTCTATTCTATATATGGTATACATCCTAGAATTGCTTCATTTTTTAAATGTAAGTCAACCAATCCATCTCCTACGTGTCATTATAGTAAAATAGTGATAGGAACAGTACCTAACGAGGAAAACTAAGAATGTTATTATAATATACATCCTAGAATCGTTTCATCTTTGAAATGTAAGTCGACCAATCCATCTCGTACGTGTTATTACAGTAAAATCCCTCGCCGGCCTGTATATTCAAAAAAAAAAAAACCCTCACCTGTACCGATACACTCGACACACGGGCGCGAGCCGCCCTCGAGGTCAATGCGGATTATCCTGGCCGGCGAACCTGCCGATCACGCAGCCGCTCCTCGGGCAGAAGGCATTCAGGAGTAGACATGTGTATGTGAAGCAGTCATGCCAGTAATTTGGCAGCAGCTTCTGCACCTGCACGTCGATTGTTTTCTGCCAACTCCACTGGTCATCGCCCATGAGCACCCACACCTTGAACTGGCGTCGCCGGAGACGACTCTGCAGGGGTCGTACACGGGCACCCAGAAGCCCGTCTTCAGCTCCACAGAACGCTTGACTGGCCCCCCACGCCCCTGCCGCGCCGTCGCCTCCGCCGGAAGCGAAGGAGAAGACCTGGTATGTAATCCTGTTCTCCTCGGTGCACATCATGCCCGTCCCGGCAACGGCGAGTATATCCGCACCGCCGCCAGGTGGTTGTTGGCGTTTCCCGTGCCGCCGGACGGGGAAAGATCATCGTAGTCGGTGAGCAAGACATACGTGCAACTCCTGATCGTGGCGTCGGGGAGGATCTTGCAGCCCCCGGTAATGGGGTTGCACAGCCGGCAGGCAGAGACCACTCCACCACCGCCTTCCTCCGAGCAGGATGAAGCCGTCACGCGACGACAACAGGTCGGTGTACATCTCTCGATCGGAGCCGCCGGTGGTTGGTATCAAGGATTGGATTCTACTCTCGCTGCCGGCGGCGGTCGACGGGAGCACCGCGGATTGGAACGGCCCCGGCGTGCGCCGCAGGTACACGCGCTGGTGGTTGTAGGTGTAGCCACCGTAGCCGTGGAAGACGCCGAGAAGCAGGCTGGGAACGAAGCGATCCGGCCGAGGCCGGAGGAACGAGGCGTTGCCGATGATGGCGGGCCACCATGACCTGAGATGCCCACGCGCCCACGGCGGTAGTTCGTCCGTCGTCCATCGCGCGTGCTGGGCAAGCAATCAAAACTAACTCACCTATTTTTGTGGTACATGGACGGACGAGTGGGGATCTGCGCATCAATCAATTAACGATTAACGATAAAAAAAGGAAGGATATGATTTGGGTGGCGATTTGTTGGGGAATAAAAGGAAGATGACCTCGCCTTCCCGCCGTAACAAATTGCCTGATTGGCTGATTATACTCCAACAACCTTAAAACCTCGGCGAAAATGAGCACCAGAGGAGGAAGAGGAGAAAGGGGGCGGGGAGGCTGGAGGGCGATGTCGACCGCGGCGGCGTTTCCCCACTACGCGCCGCCACCGCCGGCTGGCGGCTCCATGTTCCCAGACGACGAGCCGTTGGACGCTCAGATCCCCCGGGCGCCGAAGGCCGAGGCGACCAATAATGGCGGCGGTGCTCTGGTCCTCTCCACGCAGTGCGAGTTCCCGGCGCTCGGGAGGAGCGCGTCGCGGGACAAGTTCTCGGTGCTGGTGCACGCCAGAGCGCCGGCCGACGTGGCGCGCGCGCCTCTCGATCTCGTCACCGTGCTCGTCGTTAGCGTCAGCATGGAGGGCGAGAAGCTGGAGCTCCTGAAACAGGCCATGTGCTTCGTCATCGACCAACTGGGCCCCGCCTACCGCCTCTCCGCGGTGACCTTCTCGGGCTACGCGGTCCGCCGGATCCGTCTGTCGCGCATGACGGACGACGGGAAGGCATCCGCGAAGCTCACCGTGGTGTCGCTTGTCGTCGAGTGGACGGGCACCAACATCGGCGAGGGCCTCCGCGTGGGCGCCGAGGTGCTCGTCAGCCGCCGGCAGAAGAACGCCGTCGCCAGCATGATCCTTCTCTCCGACGGGGAGGACACGTTCCTCCGCGCCTTGTTACCCAATGGCGCGATGAGGTACATGGACCTCGTGCCGCCGGTGTTCGCGCACCCCGGCAGCCGGCCCGGGCCGATCCACACGTTGGGGTTCGGCGCCAAGCACGACGCGGCCGCCTTTCACACCATCGCGGAGGCGACGGGAGGCACCTTCTCGTTCGTCGAGAACCACGCGGCGATCCAGGACTCGTTCGCGCAGTGCATCGGCGGCCTCCTCTCGGTCGCCGTGCAGCAGGCGCGCATCGCCGTCTCGTGCCTGCACCGGGGCGTGCGCGTCCAGGTGGTCAAGTCGGGAAGCTACGGCAACACCGTCGGCGCCGACGGCCGCGCCGCGTCCATCGACGTCGGCGAGCTCTACGACGACGAGGAGAGGCGGTTCATGATGCTCCTGTACGTGCCGAGAGCCCGATCGACGGAGGAGGTCACCCGCCTGCTCAAGGTGAGCTGCACCTAACGGGACGCCGCGACGGGGAACGGGGCCCACGTCGCCGCGCCCGCCGCGGTGATCCAGAGGCCGCTGGAGCTGACGTACATGCCGCCTCCGTCCATGGCTGTGGAGCGGGAGCGCGTCCGCCTCGCAGCGACCGAAGGCATCGCCGCCGCACGGGCAGCCGCTGACGGCGGACAGCACTCCGGCGCCGCGCATATCCTGGAGTCTAAGGTGAAGGCCGTGGAGCAGTCGGCGCCAGGGGCGGCAGGCGACCCTGCATTAGAGGCGCTCAAGGAGGAGCTGCGCGACCTCAGCTTAAGCGTCGGGGACCGGAGGAAGTATGAGCAGACGGGGCGCGCGCTCCTTCTGGCCGGCATGAGCTCGCACGCGCAGCAGCGCGCCTCGGCGATGGGGATGGACGTGCAGTCGACGAGCAAGGCTAGGGCGTACTTGACTCCGAAGATGGAAGAAATGGTGGAGATGTCGCGTGAGAGCAAGAAGAAGCGTGGCAATGCCAACGGCCAGCAGCCGGACGGCACATCGAGGCAGACTAAGCAGGTCAAGGTAGAGATCTTTACAATAAAGGACTAGTATGCTCGCAGACGAAACAAAACCAGGTTGATTTAGGGTTCTTCGCAGATGAAACAACCCAGGTTGATCTATGGCTCTTTATTTCGGCGTTCTGAACTAGTAGCGGTATTTTGCTGGTTCACTTTTACTTGAACTTGTTATTATTAGTCTGAACCTTGGTTCGTGTGCATGGACAAGTTTAAAATCCTACTCTTGTGATTTTGTTTTAGCAACTTGCTCTTGTGTTTTTTATGTTTTTTATTACACTAGTGATTTTTGGTACATTATTGTCATATAAATGTCACGACTGCATGCGGACTGATAGCGCAGCCGGACTTGGAAACCTGGGAATTGGGCAACGAGAAACTACAACACCTGAAGAAGCCGCGGCAACTTCAGCTTTGAACCTAATGGGCTGGTTCGCTTGTTTTAAATTTGGCTTGTTCGGTTTATTTTTTCAGCTGGAATGTGTTTTTCAGTCAGTTTCGGATTCGGAACCGTGTTTTTAATGTCTTTGTGTAGGCCTAGCTAGAGATGATGGTAGTCGCGTGAGTGATTAGCTTAGCTGAACATATGTAGCATGTGAGGGGAGCGGTGATCATTATGTGATATTAGTGGCAGAATACTCATTTTGGTGCCTCAAGTATCGTCTAAGGTTTAGTTTGATCCTAAATTTTCAAAATGGCAATTTCAGTCCTCAAATCTTTCTTTTGGGCTCAGGATCATCCCAGAGAACTATGCGGATGTGGTGGTTTCTGTTGGCCCACAGGATCATCGGCTCAGGTGAGTGAACCACTCACCGGTTTTGCCGAGCACCCGCTAGTATTGCAGATCACCCATTAGCCGTGCCGACCACGAACAAGCGTTGTCCGTCTCCACACACTATGGCTGGATCTATAAGAAGGGAGAACAGAGCAAGCACACACAATACAAGATACCAGCGTTGGCCGAAGCTCTGTCTGTGAGATGACAAATCTGAACCCTCTTTACTGAGTTACCGTGGTAGTCTATTTATACAACTCTATCCATCTAGTCCCAGTACAGCTGCCCTGCTGCAACAGTGACTAGATAACGTATATGGCTGACTCTGCGCCGACCACTGCATGTGTCTACAGTGCTGTAGGTGAGCCGTGCGGCGCCTGCACCTACAACGGCTATAGTAACACAGCAGGGGACTTTTCGACGCCACCTTCCCTTACTATATTCACATAAGGTAGCAGTAGATTATCTAACAGTTTTGTCGATGCGGTGATAAGGTTTGGAAACATGAATTGAAAACTGGCCGGAGGTGGAACACATCACGGGGTGTGTAAGAGATACAGTGAAAAAAAATGGCTTGAAGCGTGTGGTTCTTTGACAAGCATCGGTGTCTCTCTATGTGTAAAGGGCTAATCAACCAGTTAGATATAAAATCTAAGGTTCGGTGAGAGATAATTTTAGCCTTCACTCTTTTATAGTTTAGATTAGATAGATAGATACTCCTAGATTAGATTGATTAGTTTTTTTTTAGCAAAATTAGATAGATTATGAAATGTGGGAGGCCTTGGTGTTGCCCCGGCAAAGAACACGTCGTGAGCCGGCCCAACATTAGAATTGTTTCGTATGTGAATTGTGGCCCAGCTCGACTTGGCCAGCCCTCACTTCGTCCTCCACGACTCCACCGCCGCCGTCGCCGTCGCCGTCGCCGTCGCCCCCCGCGAAGGGTCTATGTCTAGGCACAACGCACGCCCCCACGCTCCACCATTTGCACGAATGCTGGGCTCGGTGGTTGTTCTTGCCCTCCCCTTCTTCCACCTTGCCGGCATCGAAGGGTATGTGCTGCCCTCAACTCAACTAAAAAATTGCTCATTATGTGGTTGGGATCATTCGAATGCTATGCAACTGCTACTTCTCTGTTAATCGAGTGAAGAGTGTTCTTCGTAGAATTTAAAAGTTTATAGATGTTCTTGTTTGCCCTTTTGAGTTAAACCATTGTACTGCTCGTAGAATTCGTCAGGGTTTCATTTTTGCTGACCCACAGATGTTATATTAGTCCAGATGGCCAACATTAAGGGAAAAACATACCCCTAGGGAATACTGCCCCCAACGACTTTGATTTTAGATACTAGAATCTGAACCACTCCAGGTCCAAGAAAAGCTTGGCTCGAATGCTGCCTGCCTAGGAGGTGCACCTTGTGCCTGATGCTGCAAACAGTTTGTACAATGAGTGACCTTTTTCTAATGCAGCACCACGAGTCTGGGCCTCTGGGGTGTCCCAACTGACGCACCTAGCCACCACACGGCTGTAGGTGGGTGACATTTGGTAGTGCTCCTTTAAGATCCAACTAGGATAGAAGACCAGTGTGCTATTGCTTACTCTTACTCGAATTATGTAAGATAGTGCTTCATTGGAAATAAAAACCCATGCTTCAATTACAAACAATGACACAGTTGTGATAAATATGTTATTTTCTGATATTGGAGTACTGGACAAAATTATGCTAAAAATCTAGTTACTAATCTTGAGCAAGCCCTCCAACTGGAAAACGTAAGATGCTAAAAATCTATTGATTGCAACATTATCATAAGAACCTATATATATGGCAGTATAATTACCATCTCTTTTTCCCATATTACTAATTTTGGGGTGTCTTCAAGCACGTTACTCAACTACTGTCATCTGAATATGCATACATTTTCATGCTATGCCTGGCACATTTGTTCTCTTATCCTGTGCAGTTCCCTCAAAGCATCCTTTATCTGCATCCGCTCTGTCGGTTCCTCCTTTGAACATTGGATGCCAACTGCGAGAACTGAGAACTGAAGTGATACATGTAATATCTACACTCTCAAAAAAAAAAAAAAAACTGTTGCACACTACTATTTTGATCATATATATATTATGAATACAACATATATAGATATATACAGTGAACCGCATACGGGTGAAGAATTAACTATTAAGATGAAAGGAGGTCGCAATAGACAAGTAGAAAAGCTACCAAGAAGGAACAAATTAATTAATTAATCAATGATAATCTCTTCGATTTCTTCTCCCCTTGTCTCTCCTTGGCCGTGGTGTGCTTCACTCATCTCTGCCGCAGCAACTTCCTAGCTGTCGATGCCGATGTGGTAGAGCAGAGCCCAGAGGTGGGTGATGAACTCGCCGCCCTGCGAGAGACGCTGCATGTGGTTCTTCACATCGCCATACGGCGTGGCGTAGAGCAACGTCTGCACCCATAGGAGCGCCAGCACCTTCCAGGGGTCAGTGGAGCAGGGCCGCCGTGTGCTCTCCCTCCCCTGGGGCAGCGCTGGCGTCTCGTTGCGAAGCCGCTTCCCCAAGTACACGCCCATCTGAAAGGCGTCGTATTGACTCGGTACTCCATCGCCTGCTGATACATGCATCGCCTCCAGTTTATTGCGCCTGTTCCTTTGCATTGCTTCTCTTGAATATTCTGCAACAGAATTGAACTCGTCCTTTGTTTCCTTGCATGTCCCGGGGAGCAACTCTGGCGCTGACACCACCAAGTTGGCGCAATACTTGGACAGAGCGATGGCCACACGCCGATTCTTCTCTCTGTTGTCATTGTTCTCTCCTCCTCCGCCGCCTCCTGCACTGCCATCCTGCCGCTCTGCTAGTTCACAGTAGCTTGTCGCAATGTGCCACATCATGACACGACGCGTGAACTCCTTGGTAGGGTTCCATTTAAGTAAGGCGCAATGTTATAGGGAAGGTAGGATGCGTCTAGTCCATTGTCAGTAAACAAGGATGACCAATCCTTCCCTATCCTTCTGCTCTTGATCTGGCCCAGGAAATCAGCAATGGATGCCTTCACATCATCGTGCAACCTAACGGCGGCTCCTGCGCTGGTGTCACACACCCACAATTCCCGGAGCACCTGTCCAATGTACTGCAATCCATGCATCCCAGGCAAGTGTTCACATATCCAGCAAAGACACTCACAACAACATACTAGCATGAATAACCATTTCTTGCTGTAGCTGGTGTGTTCTATGCTCCACCTGCTCGCTGCATCAACTGCTGAGTACTGCCCGAGCTTACCTTGCCAGAGGTACTTGTCAGACCAATTAATCCTGGTAACTAGAAACAGTTTCAGTCTCATCCACCAGCTGATTTGCCTCTTTTTAATGTTTGATCTGATTTGCTCGCGGCTATGTGGACTCGGCCCATCTCCTGTAAGCTCCCATTTCTGCTTCTTCCTGTTTCTGGAGTACTCGCAGGCAACGGTGACTGTCGCCCAATTTGATGCCCAGAACTGTATCAACTGCACCAATTGCAGGAGAGCAAGGGATACCAATATGACAAGAGTGATGATCAGATCAGCTGTTGTGGTGTCGACGACGATGACAGTGCCAGCAACGTACACCAGCATGACCAATGGCAGAGGTAACAATACGGTGGCGGCTGGTCATTGTCCCAGGAATGGCAGTGGCTATGCTATGCCCACAAAACATATCCCAGTGAATGAAGCAAAGGCCCAGAAGGCAGAGGTTTTCGCTTCATAGTAGTGAAGAAACTCATTGCTCGTGAAGAAGACCTCGTACAGGAAAGCCAACTCAACCTCAATCGCCTTCAAGACCCTCTTAAAGTCTATGAGCCGATCAGCCTGCTGTACTCCCAAATCATACCTTTTTTGCCCCATTTCAGCAGCGTAGTCCTCAACCAACCCCAGGAAATGGCATCTCAGCACATGAGAGAGAGAATAGCCAACGCACACATCTTCAATATTTGCCATGTCGCTGGCAGTGACCAGTAAACCTAGCTCCATGTAGCTGCAGCTCCGATATATGTCCGCAATGCTTGTAGTTCCACCATCATCTAGTATTTCTAAAAGCATACCAACGCGTGTCAAACCGTCAGCAGGAAGGGGTAAATTGACTCGAAGTAGATATACTACCACCAGCTGCACCTGCTAAAGCAGATGGTTCTTCAAAACCATAAAAACTAAGTTCTCCTAGCTTGTCCCGCATTCTGCTTGGCAGCACAAGCGCAAGTGACCTATGAAAGCCCTTGATGAAGG